TTAACATGCTCACTTACATTGACAATGAAGACTGCTGGGAATTGTTGTAGTTAACCATCTCATCGGCTGATTCGCCGCCAGAGCTAGACTCTGTGGCGTCTGAGTCGATGGCAGTCTGTACTTCACGCATTTCCGTGTGCAACATTCCCGAAATATGCGTCAACTCGCTGGTCACATAGTTGTCAAAATTAGGTACAATCTCATCGGCTCGTGGGGTCAGAATGCCATCTGCTGCGCCTGCCGTACTGTTTATGCTGGTATCTATGGGTTGTGTTTTGCGCGAGCGTTTGCCCGGCTGTGCGGCGATGCTATACCAGGAGGAAGAGGATGCCAGTGATGCGGAACCGCCGCCAATTGTATGGCAGATTTGCTGCTTGCGCGCCGCCGTTTCTATGTGCCGCAGCACATTGCTCATTTGGCTGGCAGGCAATGGTTGCTTGGTCTGCTCATCCCAGAAGCTGCTTCCCGGCCGGCCGGAGACAATGGAGAGCACCGTGTCCTCCTGTTCAGTAAGCTTGGTGCTGCGCACCGGCGCCGCGGGCGCCGCTTTATGTGAGCTGCGCGCCGACCATTCAAGTATACCGCCAACCTCGTCACTGGCATGACGGCACATCTGCCGAGCCTGAAATTTACGCATTCGCCACAACATAACGTCAATCTTGCGCACCAGCTCATGGTGTTGCTGCTCCAACTCAGCATGGCTCTCCTGCCAGGGACGCGGCGCAGCTGCTGCACTGCAATTGGCCTTTGACTCCTGCTCGTGGCTGCCGCTGTGGCCATCATCTACTGCAGCGGCTGCTACTGCTGATGCAGTTGTTCCAGCTGCTACTGTTGCTGCTGCAGCGGCTGCATCCTCCTCATTATAGGGAAAACAAACTTCGTTAAAGAAATTGAAATCACAGATTGTATCCGGATTCACGTGACCGCCGTCAAGTGTCTTGAGCGCTTTTAAGACCTCCTCAAAATCCTGATCCTCGAGGACGGCGCCAGTTGTGCCATCCTTTAGAAAATTTATCGAGCCGGCCGTGCTCTGTGGCGTGAGAACCGCGCCTGACTGACGCGCAACTGTTGAATGCTGTGGTGAGGCGAGTATCTCCGGCTGTTGCTGGGGTTGTAGCTGCTGCAATTGCAACGGTTGCTGTTGTTGTTGATGGAGAAGCAGCTGTTGCTGGTGCTGCTGTTGTTGCCTTGTGGGCGTCGTCGGCAACGCAACGCTGGATTCTAGCGTCGCCGCGCTTATGTCCACAATGGGCGGCAATACAACGCTGGGGTTGCCATCCAGTTGACTAAGGCGTTCTGTGAATAGGAAAAATGATACATTTTTATTTAAATATTCATAGTATCAGAATTAAAAATGCAGATAAAGTCAATTAGTGCTATTCAATAACATGTTGTGCTATCTAAACATCATCTATTTGATCTATTAATATGATATAGAATTTATATTAATGATGTTAAATAACATAAAGAACGCTAGCATTTGTATGTTAATTTAAACAACTGTTAACAGCTCAGTTAATATATGTTACGCTTTTTATTGTGTCTAACAGAATTCACTTAATTTTTAGTCAATTACTTTCAAACAAGTAAACGAGTTATTATACTTATTAAGTAGCTAAAAGTTTGTAAAAATAGCTATTAATTTATATAGGTAAACATTTTTAACATTTATTCGGTGATACGTTCCAGTTAAATAAAATTATTTTTCCGAACATGTCACCCTTCAAATAAATGGTGACAAGCTGCCTAATTACAAGACAGCAGCAGTGCTACAGAAACTATCTTGCAATAAATATATTATTGTATTAGAGATAAAATATGATTCACATGAATAACATATGTTTCACATGAATCAAAAACTGAAGTTCACAGCAAACTGTTAAGCTGATGTTTTAATACATCTAGGAAAAAGAAAAAAAACAACAAATCCGGCTAGTTTCGCTTGGATCTTTGGAATAAATGAAAATTGCCTACCCTAAATTTTCCAACCGAACAAACATGTCAAACAAAACACAAGCAATTTTCAAGAAAAACAAAAATAGGCGCTTTACTGGGTACTGGAACGTGGTTCACTCCAAGATTTAACCCCCCAAATTGTTCAAAAAGGTGTTGGGGCAAGCGGACCGTGAAATCTGTGCAAAACGTTGGAGTTGAAACAGGTCTAGGCTTACCTTCAATATTATCTGGCATTTCAATAGTAGCAGCCACCTGTACTGCGCTGTCCACGCTGGGCGGCAGTAGTTCCTGCCCCGCCAACCGCTGTAGGGAGGAGTCTGTGAGTGGTGTTGGGGTTGCTGCTGGTGTTGTTGCTGCTGTTGCTGCTGCCGCTACCGCTGCTGCTGCTGCACTTGTCGACTGGGACTGAGCTTCGGCTGCTGCCATAAACGCGGGCTCTAGCAATTGCACGTTATGTGCTATAGCTGCGGCTGCTGCCTCGGCTTCGGCTGGCTGTTCCTTACTGTGGCTTACCTCAGGCAGGGTTTTGCGCAGACAAATCTCAGCTGTGATGGCCTCCTCGAAGTCACTTGTCAGGTTAGCCAGCAGCTCGGCCGTTGAGTTGTCCTTGCAGTTGTTGTTGTGCTCGGCAGTGGCGGTGGCGCTGGCGGCTGGTGACGTTGCTGCTGCAGCTGCCGCGTCGCTGATGCTGCTGCTGGAGGAGGCTGCACTGCCGTCGCTGCTCGTGTGTGTGGCTGCAGCGCTGATGCCCATTTGATTTGCAACGGATTTGACTTCGCTGGTGGTGGTGCTGCTGCAGCTTATGTTGCTATGATTGTTGGATTTACGTTTGTTGTTGTTGTTGTTGACGATCTGCACAATGGGCGAGCCGGTGCGCTGTGCCGCGTCCTTGGAGCGTGTCACACGCGTTGTGGCTGTTAGAGTTAATGGCTTCTTAGCCGTATCGCCGCCAACACCACCGTTGGGCGAGTCCAGTTTTCGCACAGACTGTCGCGTACCGGTGGCGGGCGCGGCGTTGTTTGTTAGCTTCTCCTTGGGGCTCAGTGGCTCGGCTGTCAGCGCTGGTGCCATACTTCTGCGGCGCTATTGCCAGGTCAGCTGCATTACAGGCTCGAGCTATACAAAACTTGGCCACGGTAAACTACGGAAACGCTACCGCTTGATTTCTGTATGCAATTTGCTGCTCTGGGGGAGGGTCTGCTGTTGGTCGCTTCAAAAGAGAGGAGAAACAATTTTTTCAATTTAATAATTTATTTTGAAAAACTGACACCGAACTGAAGCACACTTTGTTTTTCCGCTCTGGCACACAGAAACACAAGACTCAACACGTTTTAATTCGCCTACTATTTGGGCAATGGTTGAATGCTTTAAAGTTGCCACAGATTTGCATAATCGATAACAATAATTACACAAATTAACAGCGATAGTAAACTTTAGCTTTATTTAAAGTTGCCAGACATCTGCAAGTATGGCTACTTAATAATAATAATTACACCAACTAACGATAAATAACAGAGTCCGTTGTTTTATTTGCCTCTTCCTTCTTATGTCTTCATTTACGCCGCCTATAGGAAGTCTTTTCCGGCGCCGCGTGCGTATGTGTAACACTCAACACACACACACGCGAGCAGCTATGTGAGAGGAACGTGAGAGTAGAGCAGAGAGCGCGCGCTATTGCTCATTCACAATGATGCGCAATAAAAAACGTTAGAATACTGCGGTTCGCCAAGCAATGTTTTAACAAATGCAAATGGAAAAGCTACTGATGAAATCTCTGTCTGCGCGCTTGAATATTCAAATTGTTTCATCACGCATCTGTGCAGTATAAGTACATGTATCGTGAGCATTTTAGTGCTGTGCTAAATTGTGGTGCGTGGTCGTTTAGTTTCCATGTTTTTTTTATGTAATTTCTTTATTGAATTTTTCATCGTTGGCAATTAAGTAGCTCGCGCCTTTACAATATGTGCGCGCACACAGCACACAAACAAATAAAACACAGGCACTCACACACGCATACACATGGGTCTGTACCCATGCATGAGGTTACTGCTTGTATAGCTGTGTGTTATGTACATACACACTTGCATATGTCTAGCACTATTTTCAGTTATTTACACAATTTCATTATTTTTTTGCTCACACCGCTTCAGGGGCATATACTAATACGCCTCAAAATTAGTGAATATATTTAAACAGTTTTGCTTTTATCGCAAGCTCTGTGTATATACACACATACATATATTTGTGTTTTTCGTTTCAACGAAAAAGTAGTAGAAAACGTTTTCAGCGCGAAAGTAACCAAACTGTGAACTACACATACACGCACACAAGTACAAACATCGACATACAGAAGCAGAAGCAAGCAAGAATTTGTAATTGCTTAAAAAGTAATCTTGTTTTATACGCACAATTTCAGACGTTTGCACAAAGCACGCAATTATTAAATCTGTCGATTTTTACTACAGCGGCGTGGCTCGCGTTTGGTGTATTTGTCGTTCTTGTTTCACGAAATTTTTTCCTCATTTATATATTTTTCATTTGCTGCCTGCTACGCTTTTGGCAAAACGACGTGTATTCGGAGCTGTACTCGTTTCTGTGCTGCCAGACCAAAGTACGCATGCTGACAATACGCTTGTCTCGCTCCTACACATGCCGCTACATGGGCAATTCCGCATCAGTGTTGCAATGCGTGTAAGTGAGATGTCGTTACAAGTAGTTACTTTAAATCGTTACTCAGTCACAAATGGCAGCACCTAAACGTGACAAAGCGTTACTACACAAAATGCAACTCTGAATACAAATTAGCATTATATTTGTTATTGTTTTTGTGGGAATATATAAACTTTACGGATATTGAAAATTACGAATAAATAATAGCAGATAGTAATTTAAATGTGTAATTGAATGCATTTTAAATAGTTTTAGGTGTTAAGATTGCTCAAAAACTTTTTATCAGATGATTTCTGGTGGATAAATAAGTTTTAATTTTAGTTAACCTGGGGATCCGAATTTTTATATGTAGACTGGACCTGAGGACCTACATATGTCATTTCAATAAGCCTGGGAAGCTTTAATTTTTTGCCAACATTTCGTAATTTATAAGCTAAAGCATAGAACAAATAAAAATAATCATTTGGCCTGCGTTGTGGTTTTCGGGCTTGTTAATTTTGGACGTTGCAACAATTTCCACATAGTTTTCGCCTATTTAAAGTACGTTGGCCCCGGCTAATCTCTTATAGAGAACCCATTGAATCGGTAGTTTTCGCTTTCCATGTTTTGTGAAAATATGACCTTTTCAATCTTTGAGTGGGGACTACCTTCGGCCTGCAACCAGTGTTTCCTGTAAGCAGTCATTATTTGACAAGTCAGGACACAGACTATTAAGTTTAAGCCCAATTTGCATTACATTTCGTTTAGCGGTCCCAGCGGTCCCTCCAATTCACCCTTTACAGTGCCCTCTTTCGTATTCTTGCACCAACCGCGCACTCCCAGTATGTTGGCCTGTTTCTCCGTGTACTATATAATAAACCGAAAAAGCTTTGTTGCACATTCCACAGCGCCCTCGTGTCAATCTATACTAGACTTACCTTGCGAAAGAAGACGCCTGCAAAAAAACATAATAAAGAAAATGTGCAACAAATTAGAAATTTGCAAATGTGGCTATCGATCGCAGAAATACCTTGCACTCTTCCAAATACCTCAAATTTGCACCAATATATTGTTTCCATTATGGGTGAAGAGTTTTTATATCCAGTAACTTTAGAGGATATTGCGAGCACAATTAATATTGTATTTACTTTGAGAACTAAATCAGATTTATATGAAAACACCATAACGACCGACTAACAGAGTTGCCAGCAGTCCCATTTTCTCAATAGCATAGTATGGCAGCCGTGTGTGGGGTAAATTTATTTATTTCAATTATTTGAATTTAAAAGAGAACCATCATGGAAAGTCGTAAAGAAAATTAATGCAATGCTAGAAAATGCCAGTTTTGGTAATATATCTTTAAAAAATTGCCCGTGTCGAAATACGAGTTTTATCAGGTCTATCAATAAATTTGATAAAATAAAAAAAAATAAAATGCCCATGTCGCCGTAATTCGGCTAGCTTATATTTCTTAAATTTCATAAATATACCTTATAAATTTGATCATTTTGCTGCCTGCTCCGCTCTTATAATATTCCGAATACAAAACCGATTCTGCCTGCAGTTTGCGATATGGCAACGCTGTTAAGCTCCCTGAAGAACGTCACAAAATCAAAAACTGTTTTACTTTCATATTTTATTAGATTTTAATGTAGTTTATTTATCTGTCACTATAACATATGGTCGTTATTTGAGCGGCTTGTTGCTTAGTCTATTTTCTTCTTTTTAATGGTTAGTGGTTTATATAACAAAATACTATGGCCCGCTGGGTAAGGCAGCAGAAAATGTAAATTCGGGACAGATTCTGGCAGCTGTCGTTTTCAATCGGTTCGATTTGAGGCCTGTTTTTTGGCAGCCAGGATAGTATTTTGCATGAGCATGGCAACTGTCATGGGGCCAACGCCTCCAGGCACTGGCGTAATGTGTCCAGCCACCTGACGAACCTCTGCAAATGATAATACGGTCAATTAGTACAGGGTATTAGCAATGAGAGTATGCATCATTTACTTACCATCGAAATCAACGTCGCCGACTAGCTTGAATTTGCCCGCCTCATCCTGGATTCTGGAGATGCCCACATCGATGACACAAGCGCCCGGCTTGACCATATCCTTGGTTATCAGGCCCGGTTTCCCCACGGCCACAACAATAATATCCGCTTGGCGGCAATGCTTGGCTAGCTCCTTGGCTGGCGTATTGCGATGGCAGATGGTAACAGTGGCATCCAGACCTTTGGCCGCATGCTTGCCATCCGAATGTAAGATGATGGCCAAGGGCAGGCTGACGTTCTTGGAGCGCCCAACGACAACAACATTGCGTCCAAAGGTCTGTATATTGCTGCGCTGCAGCATGGTCTTCACACCCAATGGCGTCGCCGGTACAATGCAATTCATGTCCAGCGCTAGGCGGCCAATGTTCTTCTCATTAAAGCCATCTACGTCCTTGTCAGCACTTATGGCATTGCATATGGTGCGCTCATCAATGTGCTCTGGTACCGGCAGTTGCACCAGTAAACCATTCACATTCTCATTCTTGTTCTCCTCCTCGATCAACCGCAACAGCTCCTCTTGTGTGGTTGGCTTGGGCAACACAATTGTTCTGCTACTTATGCCAATCTCCTTGCAGGCAAGTACTTTCTTCTCCACATATGTCTTGCTAGCCGGATCCTCGCCCACAATGATGGCTGTCAGGTGTGGCTGACGATGTCCAGCTGCAACAAATTGCAGTAGTTCATTTCGCAAATTTTTGCGTATATCCTGGGCCATGTCATTGCCATTAATTATTTGAGCCATGTTACTGAAAGCAGAAAGACGTTGGATAAAATGGAAATGTTAATTATAAGTGGAAGGTAGCTAATAATAAATTCAATAATTTGTATGTACGCATGAAGTTCACCACTTTTTCTGTTCCCATTTCCATCCTAGCTATATATCAGTCAGAGCTTGCTATAATTAGGGTTTAAATTGCATTTCGGTTCACTGAATTATGCCAAACTATCATCCAATTTTTATTATGAAACTGATAATCCAGAACCACTTTGTACTTAACACTTGGGGGGAAGTACACACAAAGATTGTGCGGTAATTCCCCATGCACACAAACATATCCAGAACTTACGCGGTGATTCACTTTTTTGTACTGCACACACATTAGGTAATTCCCCAGATACAGAGATAAAAGTAAAAATTTATTGAAAATTATATTATGTAATGCAAAATAAATTGCTGTTAACCTTAATAAATATATAATTAATATATATGTGTATGTAAAGTTTTGCTTAAAAAAAAAAGCATAAATATATATTTAATCGCAAGCATTCAGCAGGTCCAGTTCCTGCAGAGCATGCGCAAAAGATTTGTACTCGATCACACTTGACTTGTGGTGTATATAGTTGAGCATGCCCTCTGAGCTGGTCCAGAGAAATACGAGTTGGCTCAGCGCCGATTTTTCGGCGAGGTCTTTCCATTTAGGCAAATGGGGATTGTGTACAGTTGGCTCATTGAGCAGAGTCACCAGCTTGTCAAACGTGGACTTGTTATTGAGCAAGTGCTCCAATTGAGCTTTGGCATCGCTTGCATCCTTCGTGCCGTCTTCCTCCTGCTCTGCTTTAAACTCCATTTCAATCTCTTCGGTTTTGATTGCATGCGACGGCATTTCCGGGTTGCTCTCTTCGTCATCCTCGGCGGATGAAGAGTCAATTTCCTCTTTGACATTAAGGGGTATCCAGGTCATGGCTGATTCTCCCTTATCCGGATACACCTCCTCCAGTAGGCGCACACAACGCTCATTGGCCTTGTCACGGGCCAGCTCCAAAGGCGTATAGCCTGCCGAATTCCTGGCCAACAATATATCTGTAAGATTCTGTGCATCCAGTATCAGAACGAGCAACTCCACATTTTGCTCCAGTACAGCCATATGCAGCGCATTATTGCCGTCAGTCGTATTGGATACATTTATGGAGCTGCGATCATGATTAATCAGCTTCTTGGCTACATCATATTTATTCTGCCTGATGGCCATGTGCAGCGGCGTCAAGCCATCATCGTTTTTAAGCGACAAATCCAACTTGACACCGGGTCCATTGAGGAAGATCTCAATGCAATTGCTGCGCTCCTCCTTGACTGCTAAATGCAACGCCGTATTGCCCATGTAATTCCGCTGATTGGGATTGCAACCCAACGCCAGCAATGGGCGTATATAATGCGCCCTATCATGCTGGCAGGCCACATGCAAGCCACTGTCACCATCCGCATTCAGGCTACTGTGCGCGAGCTCCTGCAGCTTAAAGTATTTAATCACTTCGAACGTTTTGATGGCCAGCTTTAGGTTATCCTTACTCTGGCTAATCACCTCGTGCAGCAGCGTATCATTGTTCTCGTTCTTTTGCGCATGGTCGGTGAACAGTTTAGCCACCTTTTTACAGGAGCTATCAAAGTGTTCTGGATGATCGCCAGCGCGTCGCATAGCATCGAACATTTTGAAGATCTCGCCGAGATAGATGGTGGTCAGGTTGCGATTCTGCCCTGTGGCTGGTGCTATGTTTAAGTTATTGGCGCTTTCCGCACGCCCATGACCATCTGTCTCTAGAACGCCCATATCGGGCACACATAGCTTAGCTAGCTCCGTTGAGTCTTGCTCGATCAGCTTGCGAAACGAATCCGGGGTTATTAGCTGATCCAAATGAAATTCACGTCCAAATTCCTGACTTATAGTCTGATCATGTTGGGAGACATTGACCACGCCCTGCTGCGGCACTGTCTTGGGCAGCTCCAACGAGTTGTGTATACTGCCCCCACTGCTACTGCTGCCGCTGCTGCTGGTGAGTGTGGAGCAGGTGCGTCGGCGTTTGCGCGAGACAATTGCATCGCGTGGCTTATACCGAAAAGGCAATGGCGGAAACGAGCGCTCATCATCAGAGGGACGTATCAGCTCAATGGACACAGCTACCTCGCGATCCACATCTTTGTCCTTATAGGTGGGTGTCTGACACACAATCGCATACTGATGATGCACATCCGACTCACGGAATTTGGCATATGCCTCCCAAACCGTTTCGCCATCATCGTTCTCTTCAAAGAAGCGCACCTTAATGTTCTTCTTGCTGACCTTCTCCACGAGCAGAATTAGTTCATCGTTGCCCATGACGCTGCCTGTGGGTTTACTCAGGCGCGTAATGCGCAATTCGCCAGTTTGTGCAGACTTGCGATTATTAATCGGATTGCTAAAGACGGGCGCCGCAATGGGTGTCCAGCTGTGATTATCTTCAATCTTGAAGGCCTCAAAGCAGAGTCGCACCTAGAAGGCACCCATTATTTAGCATAGGGCAATGATAATATTAATAGCGCTTCTCACCTGATTTAGATTCATATCCTTAGCTTCGCGTTCTGTCTCTTGATGCAGCTCCTGGACCTGCTTGGTCGACAGTTCACGGCGGCCCATTTGAAAGACCAAGCGATCCTTTTTTTTCTTGAACAGCTCATCGAATATATACTTCTTTGCCGTGTGTATAATGCCCATGTTGATAAACTGGGCTACATAGCCGCGCTCCTGTGAGACATGCAAATCATGCGGATCGCATACATCGCGCTCATCCTTGCGCACCACCAGCTGATGCGAGTGTGGGCTGTCCAAATTGGTTTGAAATAGGCTGCAACGGATAACCGCTGGTCCCTTATAATTGCTTAACATTACCTCCGGAAATGTTTTGGGTGTGCGTTTTGAGTTGATACCGTTTAGTGATCCGTGTGTGCCATGCATTTCACTTTTGTAGCGAAAACGAAATTTCTCCACCGGCTGCTCGGCAATGTTCAGCACAGCGGTATATTCATTCTTAATTCCTGCGTCGATTGGCGTAAATCCAACCATTTGTGGCGTGGCGTAAAAATGATCCATGGGCATGTACATGTTGCTAAAGTTTGCGTTGGCATTCAATAAATTGTTGCTGCCATCAATTTCCATGCAGAGGTTGCCATTTGTAAGCAGCTGATTTGCTGTCTGCTGCTGTGTGTGGTGGTAAGGTGAACCGCGTAATTGCTGTAGCTGTGGTGAAGGTGAATTTGATATTGCGGGCAAATTGAGGTTGGCAAAGTCATTTTGCAAGGCAAACGTCTCCGGCGAATGTGCAGGCGACAGTGTCATCGATGTGGGCGAATTTCCGCTGCTGTATCCGCTCGTGCTGGAGCAATCATTGGCATAGGATACGTTCTTGCCCTGATCCAGATCAAAGTATTGCTGTTGATTCATTGTTGTTGTTGCTTTTAATATCCACGTGAGCGCGTGTTGCTCTCTCTGTTCGCTCCTGTTCGTTGTGTTTCGCTTCTGCGTCGCAGTTGTGCGCACGATTTATCGACCGTTTCGCTGCTCATCCAAAACGACAATGAGACGATCGTTTCGCAGTTCGTTGCGAGTAAAGCTATTGTTCGTTATAGGTACTTCCCCGATGTTGCCCGACTGGCAATAATATGTATTTATCAGCTTGCTGCGCAGCCACGTCAGAGTGACTCATGGGTTTATTCGGATCGCTGTGTGATTTTATTTGCAGCAGCAGCGACTGCGTTGTTCGTAGAATTTTTAGTGCCAACAAATTGTTTATACAACAGCGAATCAATCTTTACGTATGTATGTATGTACTATAAACATGGGTATAGATGTGCTTTTTACACAAACACGCCCGGCTCGTCGTACCTTAACTCTCCACTGCACGTATTGGAATGAGTGAACGAAAACAAGTAATCACCTTCACGACAAATAATAAACGACGCTGCCGATAACAGGTTTAAGCTCTTTGCATAAAGCTTTAATATCAGCTGCGTTAAAAAAAATTAACCATTTATAAACGCATGCATTTTTCACCACGATAAACTATTAAAAAACCCGATTTCAAATATCTAATTCAACTTGGATATGCGTTGCCACATTTTTAAATGTATATATGGCAACGCTCTATTGGCAACAGCTGTTAATTATAAACACACGTGCCATAGTTTTGTCTTGGGTATTATACAAAAAATATTTAAAATATGTTTGCTTCCGTATGTGTATTCGGACAGAGCTGTGAATCTAAAATCATCTTATATTTATGCTATGCATTATTCGAACTTACACATCTTGTTTTGACAGTACAAGTTTTTTCGCATACAATTCCCATGATATTGTGTGCATCTGCATTATTAAGCGCATGTTATGTGTAGTTTGTCTACGAACTGGCACAACAAGTGTACTGACTAAGCATTTCCACATTTTGCACAGCAACAGTAAAGAAAATTGACTATAAAAGACAAATTTTCAACGTCCGCTTGTTAAAACCGCAGAAAATGTGTTACACTTTCATAAACTAAACTAACTCACACTATTTTGTATCACTTTAATTTTTTATTTTGAAAACTGTGATTGCAAAAATAGGGAAACAAAACAAATCCGAAAAAGCAGAGTACCGATAAAAACTGAATGACTTTCATGCTCACACGCACACACATTTATGGATACGCACACACACAAAAAAAGCTGAGTAGGCGTTAGTATTTGCAGGGTAACTTTGGGCAAAAACAAATTGCATTGAAATATTTTTAATCGTACCAATGAATAGCACGAGCATTGCTTATTGACCCCTTCAACTATTTTTAACAGACAGCGCCGCCTGCTCTGCTGTGCGGGGGTGACAGTTGGCGTTATCAATTGCAGCTTTTCGTTTATTTTGATTAATTTTTAGCGATGCAAAACAAATCATGTAAACTGTCTGGCAAACAGGTCCTGACATTTATTTTATATGAACACAATGTTTATATATTCACATTACCTGATTTGTGACTTTAACTTCTGCACTGATTTCCCACGCCCAAACTGGAAAATATAAACCGACCAGTTTCTCTGTTCGTAATGAACTGCTGCAACGGCAAAGATCACCCCACACACGTGTTGTTTATTGGACGTCGAGCTCTCGAGCTTTTATCCAATGAGAGCAAGACAGATATCATTTAGAGCGAAAGAGCGCGACTTAAAAAGTTTTGAGCAGTAAAGCTTCTATATGTAGTGCAAGAAGTTAACTGCCAAGCAAACTTGATACAAACTTCATACAATTTGGTATTTGATTTAGAAAATATTTTGTTTTTATTTTTGCACGAGTGTTTTTCCAGCGCATGACGAAATTGTAAAGCGTGATTACTAATTGCATCGCAAGGCAGTCTCTACTGTGACGTCAATAAAAGCCCAGGGGGATCGATTTGTTGTCTTGTGCTGATAAGCCATACAATGCAGCCCAACACCCCATTCACTATATATAGTGCCGTGGAATGCCTAGTAACTGACCGACAGTTCCTATGGTAGGAAAAAACAACAGCCTGTTATGGTAAGCGTCATTTAGAAGTGATGCTGCGACTGTTGTTGTTCCCAGGGCAGACTATCGATGCCGGGATTGAGTTGAAAATAACATGTTATTTTCGAATAATTGTCTGATAAGCAAAGGAAAGTGTGAGTGGAACATTTATTGAAACAATGTCAATCATTTCCACATGTAAAACAAAGCCAGCATAAGCTTTTTAAATGAAAAAAGATTGGAATGGGAGCAAAATGTATCTGTACTTGTGACGTGAGCGCGTGCGTAAGCTACCTTCTAAATATGTACACATTGTTGAATCTTATTTCCATTACTTCTTTGTTTTATAATAGCTGAGTTAAAGCATAATTGATAAGAATTGTTTTATAAAATGTTATATGTCTACAAATAAATGCATATTAACAAATTTTGAGCAGCACTTAACTCCAATTTGCTTGTATCTCGCAAAATGAGTGAAAATATTTTAATATATATATAATTTGATAAAATGTATGGCTTATGTCTTAAAAGCGTTAAAAAATATGTATGCAAAATATAAAAGTATTTACAGAATTGATTAACTCACCTTGTGAAACGCATTTTGAATAAATTATTTATATTAATTTGTTGCGCACTTTAAAATTACACTTTTTAAAAATTTTTATTTTCTGAATAGGTTTGAGCTTGAACAGTTAATTAAACACTTGATCACTTGCGCTCTAATTGTAAAATATTTAAAAATCGTTTCGACAGCGCGCTTTTTATAATGCCTGATCTGGTATTTTCTAGTACATTCTCCGTCAGCGATACCGCTCATGCAATAGTATCGATACCTTACAATCCACATTAGTGGCAACGCTAGCAAAACGCAAAAAAGAAGACAAGAACACAAATACTCAAAAACTGCGAAAAGAAATACAACATTTGTACAATTTAGACCAAGACGTGGATTGACATAAAATGCAGTAAGTCTATTGCGATTACATGTACTCAACTCAGTTGGATTAGCGTATATTTAATGCTTGCAGGTCTTACGGTGGTCCAGACCAGAACCACTTGCATAAATCGGAGCAGCGGGCGGTATTTGCGCATCCAGCTACTCATCCTTGGCTGCTGGATGGGATGCCCTGGATGCTAGCCACAACAAACGCACCACAGCCGGGCGGCGTTATGCAATTCGGCTCGAATGCTAACTATAATATTGAGACTGAAACACAATGCGGCAAGTGGCAGCAGAAGCGCAAATCTCTGGAGCAACTGGCGTCCGGGCTGTAAGCATTTAATCTATATGTACACGTACATTTATTTGCTATGTTCTTTAATAATATATCACAATACGCAGCCCGCCCAAACAATTGATCACCGAGGAGCGAATTACGGCGCATTTTAGTGGACTACAAATCTCTGGAGACGCAAACGGCGTTGGATCCGTTCGCAATGCAGGCAACAATAACAGTGTGCCAAATGTGAATGGCGGCTTGGCTACCGATGATATACCCTCAACTAGTACGGGTAAAACACATCACCCGAATCCGGCCTATCAAATGGCAGCCATGGAATTGGAACAGAAACTGCGCAATGCTAATCGGATTGTCATCTGTGATGAGCTCAAGCAAGGCGTTAGTCCGATCTCAGCTACGGGTGTCATACCACCGGAATGGCTGCTCAAAACAATTCCAAGGCCGTGTACCGCTCTGGTGCCCTGGCAACCGTCGCCACTGCAGCTATCGCAGCCCAAGGAGCAGACGAGAGTGCGGGCGCAGCGTACAGCCGCAGAGGGGGCAGCGGCTGGAGTAGTGCACCTCGATGATTATGATGATGAGTTGGAGTTCTTTGAGAATAACAATACATGTAATGTGAATTTAAATAAGTCTGACGAGCAAATGGATGAAGATCTGTAGCTGTAAGTGGAGGGTTGATATGTTTATAGTGTCCATAAGCAAAAAGTAGAGTTAGCAGCATGTCTGTTTAAATTTGATTAATTTTACACAAATAATCATATGTATGCATAATTAAGTGTTTTCCTTTCATTTAATTAACATTAAAAATAATAAGTTAACATTGTTTCTTGAGTTTTATTTAAAGCAGCCTGGCAACCCTTACTACTCTAACAACAGGAATTTAACAGGAACAATAACAGTTAGCACTGATTGGCGCCTGTGAAAACCCAGTAAAGTTAAGCATGTAACTTATTAATTTCCAAGAATTATTGCATTCACATTTGGCTCGGCAGAATTGTGACTAAGGAAATAATGTTTTTTTATAATTCACTTTTCTGTTATAAAGTGTTGTTCATTGGAAATGAGATCGTAATGTTAATGAAGGCGTGCATCTCTTCGTTGCTAATATTTATAGCATCTGTTAAGACTTAACATAATAAATACAAATGTAGCCATTTTTGCAGCTGGCTGCTTACGGTCACACTAGTCAGTCGCAGTTCATTTTTCATCAAGTGCGGGTGTGTTCTGCGGACGTGTTGTGACGACGTATTAAAAACTTCGATAGCTGCTAAAAATGGGTAAAAAAATTCAAAACCTATCGTTTAACGAATTGTGCAAAGAATGTTAACTGAATTTGAAGCTGCAGATGACAGACAACAGTACGAATTGAGTGGAGCTGTTTACAGATTAAATTAATGAGGAGCCACATATGTATGTACATACATACATGCATACATGTGTATAGTAAATGTATGTATTTACTGGCATATGTGTGTGAAGTGAACAGTGCGAGGCATATGTTTGTATGTACGGCCGGGTCGTTGTATATATATAGCTATCTATCTATCAATATAAATGCATATATGTATATATACAAATGTCAATAATTAACCTGTACATACATATTAATTATAATTTAAATGAGTGTAATTTGGAAACCCAAAAAAGGGCCTAACCAAAACGACTGTGTCGGCTTGGTCGTTAACTAGTTTCTGAGTCGCGTGGTGACGCTTAAACAGCACGAAAAAAATCACCACTAACAACAATACGAAATACACAATCGCAGCTATTAGGCAAATCGGATAACACCAGCTAACATAGAGCAAACGTGAGCAATCAGTACAAAATGCTCAAGTGCAAAATTAGAATATTTATTACAAGTTCATGGGAAAGCAATATGAAATGACAAATACGCAGTGTGGGTGTGTGAATGCGAATGTCTGGAGGGGCGATGTGATAAGTGAGCTTTTGTGTTGCGGCCGCTGTCGTATGATAAAATACGTTAAATAAATGCAACCCACATGTACATAATTTTATGCAAGCGACACGCAGGCAGGTACCGAGTCCAAATGCTACGATGCGACTGAATACACCACAGGTTTTTTCTTTTCGTTGACCTGTGAAATAATAGCAGCAGCAATGAAACAGTGGCGTAGCTACGCGCACACGTGGGTGCTTGCCGAATCCCCTAACGAAATGAAAGTCGAGCCCCTGACGTAGCAAAGAAGTAGGCAGGCAAGCTGGCTGGCAGTCAGTCGAGAAGTGTGGTGAATTTTAAACATAACATAATAAAAGTCCACCATGTTGAGTTCCACTCGGCTTGCCTTGGCTGCACGGCATAATATTCTGCTCTGTGGCCCTAGTCTGGTTTAGTCGTCTTCTTCGTGTGTGGGAGTATACAAGCAAACGCGTGCTACGCATAGCGCCCATGAGCGCCCGTAAATTTGCGTGCGTGTGTATATGTTCATTTTTCTCTGCCTGCTCAATTTGTATGAAGTAATAAACGCTGTCTGCAATTAGTATTTCTGTGCGCGTTGTGTTAACGAGAAAAAAAACAATAACAGACAAGTGCACTGACTGCAGGTCTTCATGCATCTTTAAGTTTGTTTCTATCTATCTCGTCCTCTCTCTCTGATTACAGAAAATAATTAAAAGTGAAAAGTGGCAAAGTGAAAAAGAAGAAGAACAACAAACAAACCGCAGGAAGCGCTGATTAGAGCGCCAGCAAACGAAGAGAACGAGGCGTGCCAAGTGTTAAAAGTACAAGTGCAAATAAATCCAACAGATTTTGTGGCGATGTCCACCGCCGAAACGGGGTCGTCGCCTGGCAAAAGCAACAACAATAGCAACAGCGTCGCTGCAGGCGGCAATGCGAATTCGAAAGGTGTTCAGCGCCGACAATTGGTGAGTATTTGAAATAAAATTACCATCAACACCGAAAACTTACATTACTTTGATAAGCCCTCAGTAAAGTGTGAGGGAGATGCGGGGTGGCTTATGCCGTTAACTGTCGTCCGATGGCGTTGTCATTGTGATTGGCAAGCGTAAATCATCATTAGCAATCTATAAAAATAAATGCACGCTCATACACTCACTCATTTGCTCTCTCAAGCTCAAGTTCTATATTCCGCACATACACACACAACAGCTCACTCACAGAGGGACAACGAGAGAAGGTGAGCTGTTCAGCGGCACTGCGCCCGTTGAGCACTGAAGCTCAACTGATGCCGCCGCATGACCAAAAGCAGTTTCTTTGCCATTTTGTTTGCTGTTCGCATTTCGTTTATAATTTGTTTTATTTTTGAGACGTATTTGTGAGTGTGTGCGCGCTGGTATCGTCGTAGATAACAGCCGTAGCATATTTACATATTTATATGCGTGTGTGTATGCACAGTCACACTACGTTTCTAGAGATTATTTGAGCATTTCTTTGTACGAGTTGGAGTCTATCTCACTCTCTGTTTGTTATATCCTCTCATTCACCTTGCTTGTGCATTTGATTAGCCCCAAATTGGGACAGCAGCTGTTGCTGCCCCTCGTTGGCCAAGCCGTCAAAACCAGCAACCTTCTACCTTCCCATCATTTGTGTCCTGCCTTTGGCAATGTCATCTAAATTCATGAATATTTTAGTGCGCGCATAACACAACTACTTGCACATACATCCATATATCTACGCTGCGTGGTTGCGTGGATTTTTTAAAGGCAGGAATCTCGCTTTTTTTTATAGAGATGAGTTTTAAAACACTATCGATGTATTACACTTTTATAGAATATTCATAAATTAAAATTGTCCTTTTGACGAATTTCCCCTAAACCAAATCCCTTGTAGTATAATATTCGTGTCAATGATCATTTTTCCTTTTTAATTTCTTCAGCTCTTAAATAAATATAGAATTTGTACTTAATAAATAATAATAATAATATAATAATTGGTTGGTTTTCGAACTTATGCCTTATGGTTTTTATTTACTTCTTTTAAATATATATAGAACCGTAAATGTATTTTATTTTGAATAAATAATATTTGGGAATTTATACAATTTAGCTAAAAAGTTTAAATGCAGAATTCACCTCGAAAGCCCTTGGCAGTTTTACCCCTTTCCTATAACAATACTCACCTCGATACTGATAACATGCACATGCACGAAACTCTCCCATCTCTAACCGTGTGTTAGTTTAGCTTTTGTGGCTTATGAAAAATTTATAACAAAAGTGACTAACCCAATCCCAGAGAGCACATGCTTCAAACGCACATTTATCGCAATTGACAAGTGTTGGTGGGCGCTTGAGTATTTGAGTTAGTAGATAGCCAACAGAAATTTCGTTGCGCCGCCGCATGTGACAGTGGCGGCCGTTCCCAATTAGCACCTTAATAGAATACATTAAGCTTAACCAAAAGCCAATCTAGCAGGCAGCCGGTTAGTACGTTTGATGACGCCACACTCACAACACAACAGCTTGAACCACTTGACTGGCGTTTATTCTCACACACACATGCATAAAAGAGACACGCACTTTAATGCTGTGTTGTAGTATTTATTTTCTACCTGTCGATTGTCCACTGGCGTTGCCAGACATTTGGCGGCCAAAACAAGCTTTTTCTGCCCGACAACAATAAACAACAACAACTAGAACAACAACAACAATCGTTTAGAACACGCCAAACAAGTTTCTGCATTTGTGAGGCGGGCGATCGCAGGCAGTCGGGCGGGCGGGCAGCAAGTCGCTTAAAAAGGATATAATATACACACCAGCCAAATGAGGACGGCCCCACCAAAAAAGAAGAAAATCACAACTTTTATAGATTTTTTCGATGCAAGCCCACCACAGCTGAGATTTACAGCACTGCTAAAAATGCAAAAATAACTCAAAGCCGCAGACAAACATGCACATGAATGCTTCTGTGTGTGTGCATGTGTTTGGATGAATGTGCTGTGGTTCTCGTTAATACAGATGATGGAGCTGGCAAAAAACGCAACAGTCGCTTTTGCTACCACCCGCCAGCCGGCGCTGCAGTATGTACCATATATACATATACAAACATACACATATGCAATATTATTCAAAGTGCAAGGCCGGTGCATGCGCACAGAAAGGAGACAGCAACAGGAGCTGACTCTGCTATTGCTGCTGTCGACAACACGATTTCCATTGCCCTTTATAAAGTGCATGCAAAAACTGCTGCCCTAAAGACGCCCTCATCATCAACGATTGTAACCTGGTGATGGTGGTGGGCTTTGCTTTGCCGCTGAAACTGCCAGAAAAATACGACCATGAGATTGAAGCCGCAGCGACCCAACAGCTTGCTCAGTGCGTCGCCATCAAAGGCAAGCAGGCGAATGAAAATGAAATGACATAAACGGCGGACTTTAAACGAGTGGGGCGAGCCCCAAACGTCGGCCAAAGGTGCGCGCGAGTAAGAGAGAGAGCGAAAGAGAGCGCCATCTGATGTGGTGAATAGCGTAATTGGCCGCTGATGTGGTGTATAGAGCAACTGTGATTCATTTGATGGCATCAGCTAAAGCAGCAGTGACAGAGACTGCGACGTCAGCTGCGGAATAGACAGCAGCGTTGACGCCGCCCTCTGTGTATATTTTTAGGCATTTTTCCGACGTTCCGACTCCCGGTTAGCCATATATTAATATGTTCCGTTCTTTTTTCTCTTCCACTCTCTTACAGCGCGAACGCAAACAGCGCAAACTTTACCTTGAAGAATGGTCACTCGGCGACGATGATGCGGAAGGCGCGCGCGGTTTCAGCGTTGCCGAAAAGCTTGAGTCCTCCAAGTTTGCGCAAGCCGGCATGGTACGGGAGATGCGCGGCTGCGATCTAACAGTCGCGTAAGTTTCTTAAACTGATAAGTAAAGCTACCACGGTTTTTGCAATGTTTTAAACTATTTCGTGAGCAATATCTTTTTGATCTGCTAGGTAGATTTGAAATTAATTTAACCATTCTTCAACAACATTTTTAGCCAAGAATTTTTTTTTTTTTTAAGTCCAAAGTCTAAGACATTTTTAAAAGTTTTTTTTGTGTAAAATTAACTGAAAAATAACAAGAAATTCCCAAATCTTTTGTGAATGCTTTTTATAAATGTTCAACTGTCATGACGGTAAAATTTTAACCAATTTTCATGAGGCATAAGAATTGATTGGGATGTTAAAATTTAGTTGTTATAAAAAACAAAGCTTTCAGAAAGACCTACTAATTTTTCATGAGATTAAATCTCACAATACTATTTTTTATTACACTTCAAAATTGAGATTAACATAGTTGCTTGGAATAGAAAGGTCGCTAACAACCACAACAATTTCTGATTAGTTTTCTCGATAATAATAATATTATTTTTATCAATCCTTCCTCCAGCTTTCTGCAGCAGCATGGCTTCAATATACCCTTACTGTTTAGGGAGAAGAACGGCTTGGGGCTGCGCATGCCCGATGCACAGGAGTTCACTGTTAACGATGTACGACTGTGTGTCGGATCACGTCGTTTGCTGGACGTGATGGATGTTAATACGCAGAAGAATCTGCAGATGACGATGAAGGAGTGGCAACAGTACTACGATAATCCGCAAAAGGATCGACTGCTGAATGTTATATCCCTGGAATTCTCGCACACGCGTCTCGATCATTTTGTGCAGAGTCCGGAGATTGTGCGTCAGATCGATTGGGTGGATGTTGTTTGGCCCAAGCAGCTGAAGGATGCGCAAAAGGAGGGCACCAATTTGTTGGGTGGCATGATGTATCCCAAAGTTCAGAAGTATTGTCTCATGTCCGTGAAGAACTGCTATACAGATTTCCATATTGACTTTGGAGGCACCTCCGTCTGGTATCACATACTTAAGGGCAGCAAAGTCTTTTGGCTAATCCCACCCACCGATCGCAATTTGCAGCTGTACGAAAAGTGGGTGCTGTCCGGCAAACAGGCGGATATCTTCTTTGGCGATACAGTCGAGAAATGTGCACGTGTCTACCTCACAGCTGGCAATACCTTCTTCATACCCACCGGCTGGATACATGCCGTCTATACGCCCACCCAATCTCTGGTCTTTGGGGGCAATTTTTTGCACTCCTTTGGCATTGTCAAGCAGCTGAAGACGGCCAGCGTTGAGGATAATACGAAAGTGCCGCAAAAGTTTCGGTATCCTTTTTTCACCGAAATGCTGTGGTATGTCCTCGCACGCTATGTCTACACGCTGCTGGGCCACTCGCATCTGGAGGGCGAACCATCGGCCAGCGAGGCCGAGATGGCCGCCCGCCCCCACACACATCTCACGCACTATGAGCTCTTTGGGCTCAAGGAAATTGTCATGTATCTGTACGATCTGCCGCCGCAGAAGAAGAATGTGCCCAGTCTAGTTTTGGATCCAGTGGCTCTGATCAAGGATGTGCGCACGCTAGTTGAACGCCACTGTAAGGATCAACAAGATATGGCCGTGACGGGCATGTCCGTACTACGACCCGCCGCCGAGCATCAGCCGCTCTTTCAACTCTACGATCGCACGCGAGTCAAGCAGGAGATCAAACAGGAGATTGCACGCAAAAATGCAGAGGTCATACGCGAACAGCAGCAGCTGGAGGCGGCCAGGGAGGCCGAGTCAGAGGCTGGCCAGGGCAGCCACAACAGCGCCAACCATGGATGCAACAACAGCATCAACTCCAGCGGCATCAATAATAACAACAGCTACAGCAGCCAGGGCGTAGAGTACAGCAACGGGGTGCTGAAGAAGGAGCAGCTGGAGAATGGCACGTCCAGTGGACATGGAACGCAGCCAGGTGTGTATCTTATGCAATTGCGCGGATGTTTACTATATATGAAATCTAGATACAAAAGTCGGAATATATATCAATGCAATGAATGAATTCCAAAGAGAATTTTTCTCTTGAACTCTTCCTAATTATGACTGTGCGTGCTCGTATAAAGATCGAATAATCAGTCCCGTGTAGCACTGATTTGCCCTACGGCACGGTGAGCAGTAAATACTCTTATAAACATCTGCAGATATGTGAGAATCATTGTGAAGGGCATATAGTAGTAGTTCGATGATGTTAAGACTTGGATCTAATGTAAGCAATGAGGTATAACTTGTAAATGCCGCATTTGTTCAAGATATCTTCAACAAATATATGTTTTTATACGAAATGAAAATTTTTGACCAGCTCTGAACAATGTTCTGCCTGCAACAGAAATATGGATTTTTGCAAAATTAAATGACTTGCTTTAAGAGTGCGAGACAGGTGTTGATACTAATCATGAATATTTATACTTTATAGGATCGAAGAAAAATTTTATGATAAAGTTATAATATCTTCTACAAGGGTATATAACTGAATACAGATCATATATTTCGAATATGAATATTTTTCTGAGCTTTAAGCTTACTGTTATTTAATACATATTGCTAATAGTAGACATAGATATTAACAAATTGAAGATTTGGTTTAGATGAAGAAGTATTTACATATGTAAAATAAGAAGTTTTTGGTTTAATGGTATGTGGAAAGAATCCCTTTAGTACAATTAAGCGAGTATATATTGTGGAAAATTAGCCCTGATTTAATTGCAAATGACATTTGCCTAAATTGATTTAATTGATCTGATAGCGTTATCAGCCCTGGCTTAAAGCTTAATGAATTGTATGAAAACAATAAATAGCTTTTAAAATGTAATCAGTTAGTTAAGATTTCTATTTAGCCTAATCTTATTCTGAATTCTGTCATTTCTAGAAGCTACCTTTGTGCTGCCCACGGACACACTCAAGTATCGTCCGCCCAAGAAGATGCACCTGGCCAATGCTGTAGCCGCTGCCGCCACCAGCAGCAACAATAATACAAGCAATAGTAGCCACAGCAATAGTCCCACCAATGTGGGCAACAACAACGCCGTCAGCGTGATTGCCACCTGCTCCAGTTATGTTGATGGCACTGGCGGGATGTCTGCTCCGCTGGACAACTGCCCGTCGCCGGGTGAGGCAGGTGCCAAGTTGTCGCCACATTTGACGGGCACCGGTCAGCCAAGGCGACGGCGCACGCGCTGTAAGAACTGTGCCGCCTGTCAGCGCTCCGATTGCGGCACCTGCCCATTCTGCATGGATATGGTGAAGTTCGGCGGGCCCGGGCGTGCCAAACAGACGTGCATGATGCGACAGTGCTTATCGCCAATGCTGCCAGTAACCGCTCAGTGCGTCTACTGTCACTTGGATGGCTGGCGGCAGACGCCAGTGTCGCCGCAGACCAAGCAATTGGCCTCGCTGGACGGTCCCTCTGCGCTGATGGAGTGCTCCGTTTGCTATGAGATCGCCCATCCAGACTGTGCGCTCTCACAGCTCGATGGCACCGAGGATGCTGCCGATGCCAAGGGCATTGTCAACGAGGATCTGCCCAATAGCTGGGAGTGTCCCAGCTGCTGTCGTTCCGGCAAGAATTACGATTACAAAGTAAGTAGCTGTTTGTGTAGTGAAGAAATTAATTTAGGAAATTTTCAATTATGTTTTGCGAGAAACCATAATTTAAACAGCATTCCAATATCATATAAAAATACTTTAACATTTATTTAACATAACAGAGCGTTTAGATTTGCTTTCGTTCGTAACATAATTATGCTTGTAACATTACTCAAGCTTAGCATATCACGCAAATGTTATTTAGAAAAACAATATTGTCCCGCGTTTAGAAAGCCGCATAGCCCATTTCAATTATTTTGAACGGGACAATATGAATTTGTTTACTGAGCACCACGTGCATATGCTTCTGTATTTATCTAAACTGAGATAGTTTTAATTTTCTGTCGCCTGTACATATGTACATACTTTGTTACTTAACCTCAGCTATTTTACAAAACCATTGTTAGTAGCAGTACTCAAGAAATACTCAATTGTTTGACAAACATAGGTTATTAACAGTTACTCTTTATCGAAATACATCAATGTTTCACTCAACTGCTTAACATAACACACAAATGTTATTAAAGCTGCTGAACAGTAACCAAGTTAGCAGTGGCATGGAAATTATAATAGAAATTTCCCTAAACTGAATTTGTGTCGTTCTTCTTAATTAATTGCTTTTCCGCTCCTCAATTGCAGCCACGCCATTTTCGCGCACGCCAAAAGTCATCGGAGGTGCGACGCGTTTCAGTTTCGCATGGAAACAATGCTGGTGAGAGTCATGAGGGAGGCGGAGCAGGAGGAGGTGCTGGCGCCGGTAGCCTGTTCCCGCCACCCGTTGGCCAATATAATGACTTTGTGTTCACCAGCGAATCGGAAATGGAGTCTGGCGGCAGCGGCCAGCATACAACACACTGGAAGCACGGCCTCAAGCGCCACCATCAGCTGGAAGTGAAGACGGAGCGCAATAATAGCTGCGACACGCCCTCGCCGGGCATTTCGCCCAATGCGACGCATCTGCTGAGCGACAAGATAAAGCGGCGCAAGAGTGACGACGGCATCAGTGTCAGCAGCAGCATGCACGAGAGCAACGACGCGCCGTGCTCCAGCTCTATGGACTGTGGCGCTGCTGGGGCGAGCGGTACAGGTGTCGCATCCACTGGGCATGGTGGCGGAGGAGGTAGCGGTGGCGGTGGCGGCGGCGGCGGCGGCGGGTCACGAAAGAAGAACTCTATACGCTCACAGCTGGCGCAGCAGATGCTCAACTCCTCGACACGTGTGATGAAGAAGCCACAGTATGTGGTGCGTCCAGCGCCCACATCCAGCTCCTCACTAGGCGGGTCTGGACTCAGCAATGGCGCCAGCAACGGCGTCAACAACGGCGCTGGTACAAGTGCGTCGGCGGGTTTGGTTGCTGTTGGTGCCGGTGGAGGAGGAGCTGCTGGCGCCATGAGCAATATGGCCAGCAATGGCGCCAATGGGCATAGCCATCATATGCATCATGGTGGTGGCAATAGCCACAGCCACAGCCATAGCCATAGCCACAGCCACGGCAGCAGCAACCACAACAGCGCACATAATTTAGCACTGGATGCCACCGTATTGAAGATAATATTCCGTTATTTGCCGCCCGAGACGCTCGTTACGTGCTGTTCCGTGTGCAAGGCTTGGTCCAATGCAGCGGTGGACCCTGATCTCTGGAAGCGCATGAATTGCGCCGAGCTTAAAATATCCGCCTCTCTATTAACGGCCATTGTGCGTCGGCAGCCGGAGCATTTAATTTTGGACTGGACGCAGCTGGCCAAGAGGCAATTGGCCTGGCTGTTGGCTCGTCTACCCGCCCTCAAGAATCTCTCACTGCAGAATTGCCCCATACAGGCGGTGCTAGCGCTCCACACCTGCCTCTGCCCGCCGCTGCAGATACTCGATTTGAGTTTTGTGCGGGGTTTGAATGATGCGGCTATCAGAGATATCTTGTCGCCGCCAAAGGATTCTCGTCCCGGTCTCAGCGATTCGAAGACACGTCTGCGCGATCTCAAAATACTGAAGCTCGCTGGCACGGACATCTCGGATGTGGCTGTGCGCTATATAATGCAGTCGTTGCCGCAACTCAAACATTTGGATCTCTCCTCGTGCCAGCGCATTACGGATGCAGGCGTGGCACAAATTGGCACTTCACCAACGGCTATTGGGCGCCTGGCGGAGCTCAATTTGAGTGCCTGTCGCCTGGTCTCTGAAAACTCGCTGGAGCATCTGTCCAAGTGCGAAAGCCTCATCTGGCTGGATTTGCGGCATGTGCCGCAGGTGAGCACCCAATCGGTGATACGTTTTGCCAGCAATTCCAAGCATGATCTGTGCGTCAAGGACATTAAATTAGTAGAACGCCGAAGGATTTCATTAAGCAATAACTGGCACGACTGAGCACCGACCAGGTGACGAAAGCACCGACAGCGGCAGCGGCCATTGTGGACATTCACTGGCTGAATCCGGAACAATCTATGGATACACTGTAGGACAGGCTACGAGAAACTTGTTTTAGGTTTTATGTCGCAGATGCACGAAAACTTATTTTTATTTGTAAATGTTTACGAATGTTCCGACTTACGCTAACGGCTCCGGTTCGCAGGTGGCGCTACGGAACTTTATTTATTGTCAGCACACAAGAAACACCCTCCCCAAATCCGCCAGATTATCTCACATATAGAGCAATAGCCCGTTAAGAAAAAAAAATAGAAAACCAAAGAATTTTGTTTCTAGTACGAAAAATCCAGCAGCAAAATGAAAACTCCCTTCGCATTGAGTGCACAAATAATACAAATGATACAGTAAAAACTGCCTAAAGCGTGCGGCGTGGGTATACATAAACATAGCGTGTGGGTAAATAAGAAAATGATTTGTATACCCTTGCAAAAGATATTTTATTAGAAGAGCTAATCGGCCCTAGTAGTATATGTACTATATGGAATCATAATCAGTATCAACAATCGAATCAATGTCTGTCTGTCTGTCTGTCTGTCAAACTATTCACCCATATCGGGACTATTAAGGCTATAGGAGTGATCGGATAAAAGTTGAGAACAACATCGTGAAAGGGACATGAATTTATGCCGAATTAATTTTCAGGAACGTTTACTGCATTCTAAAGAAACTTCGGTTAAATAAAATAAACGGCAAAGGCAAAAGATTCTAAAAACCATTTTTTTTTGTAAATATAAAATTTTAATAATATATGCCTAATAAGCCTTCAGATACATCGCATAGCATTGTCAGAGCCTAGAGGGCTTATATATGTTTTTTTATGTATTGTCTGTATCACAGTTTTTAATGGACCTGTATTGTTGGCTGTTTTAAAGGCATTGTAACACGTGAAACATCAAAAAGTTTCCAATTTGAAACAGTTCTAAATTTTAAACAAAATGTTAACTTCGGTTGCGGAACGTGTAAAATAGATTTTGACCCATTTACACGATCTCCAATTGAAAAGTGTCAATTTTATAAATCGGATCTATGATTCGGAAGCTTAACAAACGACTGATCAGACGAAGTTTCCCAGTTAAATAACACATTGTTTTTAATGAAAATTGACAAATATGATATATGTGCAATAATGTGTAGGGTACTTCAAGCTCCAATGCGAAGGGTATTCAAATTACGGCTCGGCCGAGTATACATATGAAATCCAGATAACGTAGATATCTATGTTTAAGTTTATTTTTGTCATTACACATATTTATTACAATATGTAGTGATAGGTTGAGGTAAATACGAGTACATACACCAGCATTATATACATGCGTACATACATATATGACTATATATATTAGCATTCCCGAGCATGCAGCATGTGTGTGTGTGTGTTTAACTGTTTATTCTATCCCAAATCGGAATCGGTGTGTCATATACGTATATACATACTTTGTATCTAAGCACAATTTAAGGATGCCAATCTTGAAGAGAGCACACGCACTAGGCATATCTGCAGAGCAGGAAGTTACCTTAGCTTAGTTCAAACTCGTCTCACTACCATCTGGAGTGGATTTTTAGATTGACATAGTACATACGCTTCACAAGTCTGCCCAACTGGCATACCATGTTTCCTCAGCCTTCCCCCTGCGCTATCTCCCCTCAAGTAGAAGCTCAAAGATCAGGCACATTTATTGGGCATGACATAAATTCAAAATTATATATATATATATATATTAAAATGTATAAGCATAGTGATAACGTGGCTAAAATCTGTAGTATATACATATATATATGTATTTGTCTGAGCAATTAAGAATAATCCATGTACACCTACATACATACGTATATTTAATGTTTTACAACAAAATTATAATAAATAGAGCCTAATGTTTAAAATATATTAAAAGACATGCTTTTATTCTGATTTTAATTGTGACCTCAGACGATTTCAGTTGCAATTCTATAAAAACTAGTTATAATTTGTACACCTAATAGCCTTGAAATGATTCATTTTAACATGACATTCCTTGATTCATACAAATTTGAATCATATTTGCAACAAACAATCTAGTTTCGAACCTTCTACCGAATTGTTTCTAATTAAAGAATAGGCCGCTTCAAAATTGAGCTTGAAAAAATCTTTTAAAATATTTTCAAATTTATTACTTGCAATAATTCCACAGTCGCAATTCCGAATATGTGACCAGAATTGTCCAGAGTTATATGAATCCTTAAAGTAATGTGCATTTTGAATCCAAATTCTAAACGTCCCCCGTTTCGAATATTAATATTTAGCTGATTTGTAGTCAGGCTCATCGCCGCCGCCACCGCCACCATCCTTGGGAAGTTTGCGTTTCTGTATGATACCCTGTGGAAAATAGATGTATAAGAACTTAGTTGACTTCTGATTAGCGATTATTCTATGTAAACTAAGTCCCACCTGAATCTTTTGCCACTCGCGATCGAGTTCGGCCTTTTCGTTCTTTTCCGTTTTGTTTTTGCGCGTCTTGCGGCCATCCTGCATCTTGACGCCGTACTGAAAGGCGGCTTTTGGGAGCGCTTCCTTGGTGCTCATATAGTCCGAGTACTCCTCCTGCGTGTCAAAGTCCCAGCGACCAATCGGGCCTTTCTTGTTGCCCAAATCCATTTTGGTGTAGTCCACCTCATCATCCGAATCGTCAATGGCATCGTTCATCTCCTCCAGCCCCGGATAGCATTCGGCATAGCCCTCCGGTTCGTTGGCGAAACGCGAAGCCATCGCCTTGGATATCTTTGGGGGCGGCGGTATATTTGTTATCACTGGCTCCGGCTCGGCGGGGGCATCACCAAAGTACGATTGGGCCGTCGCCGCCGCCGCCGCAGGTTTTGGCTGATGACGCTCATTGCGCGTGGTCGTGGGCTGATAGTCGCCCACATCATCATAGATGCTGTCGCCTAGAGCTTTCGAGGATTTGCTGCCGCTGCTGCTGCTTGGATTGGCGCCGCTGCCAGCGCTGCTGCTGCCATGCGGTTGGCCGCGCACATGCTCCACTTCCTTCTCATAGAACAAGGGCTTATCCTTGTCGCGTTTCTTGTTCTTCTTATTGCGCCCACCGGCGCGTAGGTAACTCAAGATCTGCGATAGTTTATTAATAACAATATCATTGGTAGTCAGCGTGGCAATGTCCTCGCGTGCCACAGGCACCTCATATTTAGAGCGCTTCAATGTTGTTGGTATGTCCATGTCCATCTCATCCTCCATGTCGATTACATAGGCCATGCGACCGGGCGCGAACAGCTCATTGCGCGGCACCTCTTTGGATCGGCGTGCCTGTGTAAGATTATATATATTGCGTGCCATGGACCCATTTATCGCATTTATGTCCTCCGCCTCGCGACGCTCCGCCTCCAGCTGCTCGGCAGCGGCCGCCGCTTCGGCTAGCTTCTCGCGCGCCAATGCGGCGGCCAGCTCTTCCTCCTCCGCCTCCTTGGAATGCAGCTCGGAGCGTACCTTTTGGAGCAGAGCATAATCGAGACCTTTCACCAAATGAGTGTGCTTCATGTCACCACCCAAGAACTTAGACTCCTGGATAATGCGACGCCTGCGCTCCGCCGCATCGACGCCGGATTTCATATCAGGCGCTACGGCGCGATAGGCATTTGTGCTGCTGCCATGACCGGGCGTGCTGGCGTTTTGGTAGTCCGGATTGGCGCCGTCGCGACGCTCTCGCGCTCGATCCCTGTACTTTTCCGAGAGCTCCTGCAACTTGACATCCTCCTGCTTCTTGAGGGCTGCATAGAAGTTTTTCTTCTTGCGTCGCAGATCGTTTCGTTCGCTGCTGCTTTGGCTTTTCTTTTTCTCACCAACCGCGGCGGGCGTTGCAAACTGGGCTGTGGCCAGGTATCCGCTGCCCGCACTGCTGGTCGTCGAGCCAGGTGGCGGCCCACGCGGCGTGGCCAGCAGCTTGCGAAAATCATCGTTGGTCAGGCGCACCGAGGGCGGTGCTTCCAAATGGGTTTCCGACATGTCAATAAACGATAAATTCTGATTTGTTGGTCTTGCAAAATAAATTATATTTATGTATAGTTTGTTCTTCTTCCTACTATTTGAGTAGTTATCGATTGCGTAGTTATCGACGGCTTATCAGCTGTTACCGAAATGAACCAATGCGTTCAGCTGAACAATAGTGGGCAATGTCTTTATGTTTATGTGGTAAATAAAACTAGAAAATGATATTCGCGCATTTTATTTATTTTACTTTAAATCCTGCCGAACCATAATATTTATTATTATTATTATAAGTATTATCGGTGTGGTCTGTTGATAACAGACTAATGCTAAGTTATGGCAGCTGTTAAATAACAGCTGATTCTGCCAGGGCTGCTGAATACATTGAAAACATGATAAACAAAAGTCAAACCACAATTGAATACGAAATAAAACTATAAAACAGTTTTTACAAAATGCTGAAGTTCTTGCGAGGTTTGCCCAAGGTAGAGCTGCACGCCCATCTAAACGGCAGCTTGAATACTGACAGCATCCGAGAACTGGCTGAGAAGGTGTATGGCGCGCAGACAGCGGAGTTTTCGACATTGTGCGATCAGTTTGTAAAATTTGAGAAGGGCGCCAAATTGGACGAGTGTTTCGAAAAGTTTGGATTCGTGCACAAGCTGACGGCTACCAAGCAGGGCCTGGAATATGCCACCGAATTGGTCATACGTGATTTTTCCCAGGACAATGTCATATACGTGGAAATGCGCACTACGCCCAAGGCAAACGAACATATGTCCAGACGTGCTTATCTGCAGACCGTGCTGGGGGCTATCAAAAACGCGCGCGATCTATATGAGATTAAGGTAAAGCTATTGCCTTCCATAAATCGTGGCGAGCCGGTAGACGTGGCTGAGGAAATTGTCGCTTTGGCTGTCGAGTTTGCCTCTATGGAACCAGATATTATAGTTGGTATTGATTTCAGCGGTAACCCAAATCAGGGCAAATTTAAGGATTTTATGCCAGCCCTGAGTGAGGCTAAAAAAAACGGCCTAAAGCTTGCCATACACTGCGCAGAAGTTGACAATCCCCTAGAAATTAGAGAGATGATCAAGTTTGGCATGTCGCGCTGTGGACATGGAACATATCTCACCGAAGCCGGGTATGAGCACATGAAGGAGGAGAATATACCTATTGAGTGTTGTCTCACGAGCAACATCAAATCCGGCACTGTGGCAAACATTGGAGTTCATCATCTCAAGCAGCTGATGGAGGCAGATGCGCCCAAGGTGCTGTGTACGGATGACAGCGGTGTGTTTGATACGACCCTCACGGACGAGTTCTTTTTGGCAACAGAGACCTTTGGTCTGACCCGGAGTCAGTGCATTGCGCTAACAATGGAGGCGGTTGAGTATGCCTTTGCGACGCGCGAAGAGAAACTATTGATGAAAATGCAGATTTATTCATACACAAGACGGCAATCCTCATAAAATTAATTATTGAATTATTGAAATTCTTATTTTAAATTAAAAACAGCTACGCTTTGTATCTTGCTGCTTGCTGTAAACGGCTAAATTGGCGATAATTGTTGAGTTTGTGCTCAATGTTCAATTAACAGGCTGAGAGCGCAACTGTTGCTCTCTGCGTTCCTAGCTAAACAATGTTAGTTGCATGTTATCTTAACAGTTGAACTGTGCCGCCCACACTGCTGCTCAACATGCCAAACTAACCCACAGCTTGTTTTAATAGAATGTTTGCTTGAAACATGTGTGAGTTGATGTAGGTGAATGTATTACGAACTTGGTTTAGCCAGTGCGTATTAATTTCCGGCAATATAAACACAAAACTTGTTTTGAAAAAAAATGTATAAAGTTTATCTGCGTGTTTTTGCCAATCAAAATGTTACTTTACTCAAACTAAACACAGTGAGCTCCAAGCTACACATTGTATTCCAATTTTTGAAAGGGCGCATCTCTAGTTGGAACTGTTCTGTTAACTAAAGTGACTGAATTAGGTTTTAACAGACGCAGCTTGTGTGATGCACGCGTGCTCGATTTCGGCGCACGACACGAAAATCTGCGCAATCAATATATTTTTTAAATCAGAAACTATCACAAAACTAAGGTAAGACTATTCTACCTTCCAGAGATAAAATAAAATCAGTTGATAAACACTGACACCCACGGTTAATGCTTTTATGTTATGCTAGTGTGTGCGACAACATCGTGTCATGTTGGCACACGCGTCCATCTCTACGCTGTTATTGGTTCACTCTTATAAGAAACGTTAACAGTGTTTTTCGCTAGTAATATTTCTCTTGTCCGTGCGTGTCGTCGCGCCACTGTGCCGCTCCGTTCGCCGCTGGTGTTTCGCTACGTTGTGTGTTCGTAAATTATAATAAAGTGTCAAATAATTTTTAAATAATCAACAAAAAATGATGATGATGATGAGCTATCAAAGCAATTAACCGTTATGCCTATGTATGAAGAAGCATACATATTGAAAATATAAAGCGTTATATTTTGATTGCTTCGCAATAACAAGAATTGGCTAATGTTTAACACCAACAACAACAGTGCCCGCATACACTGAAATCTGAAATCTAAGCGCCATTACGAGTCCAAAAAAAGAAGCAAAAAGTGCACACAAGTGTTGATATTACCGCTGGTGTAGGCGTGCGTGTGCATTAGTGTGTGTGCGCGAACATGTGTTTGTGATTTCATATGTTTTTGTTACTTAGCCCATTCCGCCGCAATCAAGTCAAATTGTTTAGCAGAAAAACAAATTAAATAATTGCAAGGTGCAAACAACTACTAAAAAGTCGCCGCCATTTACAATTTAAAGGTGAGTAATACAAACAAATATGTTGAGAAATCACAAGTGATGAAAGTACCGTTTTATGCGTGCTGTCCTCACGTGTGTGTCTGTGTGTGTGTGGGTGTAAAAGAGCGCGCGCGTTTGTTTTTGTTTTGGTTTTGCCTTTACTTTTGCTAAATAACAAGAAATGCGGTCGTCGCCGAGACAAAAATGATTCAAATATTTGCGCTAATGTGTAAAAATACTCTGCTGCAGCTTGTTGCATGCAACGTGCGCCGACGGCGACGGCTTTGGCGTCGGAAATTCAGCTCCCAATTCAGTTTTCATTTCATTTATGTCTCCTGTTTTGCTTTTGAACCTGTCAGCGTGCACATTTTCTTTAGCCATTGCAGTTGTCTCTCTTCTCATTGTTGCATTTTTGCGGCTGTTTTATGTTTTCCTTTTTTTTTATGCGAAGCTTCATCATTATCTTATACGCACACAGGCATGCACACATGTGCACATGCATGCCTGTGTTATTTCGTGTTGTCTTCTTTTGCTTTGTTTGTTTTTGATACCGGTTTTACTCTCCCACTGCTCGGCTTCTTCTCCCTGCCCCTCTTACCTAAGCACTCAGCCGAAACACGCGCTCTTCTACTCTCAATTTTGTTGTTGCTGCTGCACAGGTAGTTGTGGTGGTGCTCATAGTTTACTTTTAGATTTCTTTTCTGCGCTTCTGTGCGTGTATGCTATTGTTGTTGTTTTTTCTGTTTGCTTTGTCTTAATTATGTTTTATTTGCTCTCAGCAATTATTAATCTGATTTCTGATTTTCTGTCTGTCCGTCTTTCGTTTGCCTGCGCCTATTCAAAGTTCATTTTTATTTATGCTTCGAGAATTTAAATCTTTCTCTTCTCCTGTTTTCTGTTTTATTGTTTATTCTACATTTTATATATTTTAAAATGTTTGTTTTTTTTTTGCTTTTTTTCTTGCTTGTTGCCAAGCCTGTTAAACTTTGTTAATGGATTTTTTAAAGCTTTTTGCCAGATCTGTTTAACTTTTTGAATCTGACAATTTTATGCATTTGCGTTTGCTTCTCTCGTGTGATTTATTCCGCCCTCTTGTAGGTTATAGAATTTGCTAGCTCTCATCATTCAAACGATTTAAGAAACACCCGGGAATATAAATTTTTCCATTGTTTCGGTTTTCTTCTGCTTTGTTTTCACTTGGTTCGTTGGCATTTCTTTTGACGTCAGTTGTGAACAATTTTTTGACTAGTCACAATTCCAATAAAATTTCCTATGTGTTTGATTATAGGACATACGAATATATATAATTCTTCTATAATTGAAGTAATCACTGTTTTTATATTTTATTGAGCAATTCTAGGAATGACCAAAACTTATACTTTTGCAGCTGGTTTGGTTTTATAAAATATTCACGAAGTGGTAAAAAGCATGGAAGGCGACATTTTGAACCACATATAGTATACATATGTATGGATATACTTATCTCTATATATAAAACTGTTTGTCCTGACTGACTGACTGATTGGTGATCAACGCATAGCCCAAACCGTAAGAGCATGGAAGCTGTAATTTTCACTGTGTTTACCTTATGTGATGTAGGTGCACGTTAAGACGGGGTTTCGGGAAATTCCACCCGCAAGTGTGGAAAAATCGCGAAAAACGTTTGTATGTAACTTGTTTGTTTGTTTTTTATTTTCAAAGATCTTTGTTCAAATTCATTTGAGGGGTGTTTCACACTTTTAGGAAAATCCATTACTCCTTGCTGGAAATGGAGGTCAAAGATTTGGTGGGTGAAGTTTTGTGCTCAAATTCATTTCCAGACATCTATAAGAAAAATCATTTGAGACGTGTTTCACACTTTCGCAGAATTCAATCTTCTTCGGGGGGAATGCGAATTCAAGATTTTTTGGGCGAAGTTTTAAGTTGTGTCCGATTTGCTTCAAACTTATTTTCAAAGCTCTACATAAGAACTTAATGAATACGTGTTTCAGCGATTTGAGAAATTCCACTCGCAACAGTGGTAAATTAGCGAAAATCGGTTGTATGAAAGTTTTTTGTTTACCATCCGATCGGCCCCAAACTCATTTTCAAAGATCTATGTTCAAATTCATTTGAGGGGTGTTTCACACTTTTTAAAAATTCCATCCCTCCTTGGTGCAAATGGGAGTCCAAGATTTGGTGGATGACGTTTCGTGTTCAAATTTATTTCCAGACATCTATAAGAAAAATCATTTGAGACGTGTTTCACACTTTTCGCAGAATTCAATCTTCTTCGGGGGGAATGCGAATTAACGATTTTTTGGGCGAAGTTTTAAGTTGTGTCCGATTTGCTTCAAACTTATATTCAAAACTCTACATAAGAACTTAATGAATACGTATTTCAGCGATTGGGGAAATTCCAGGGGTGTTTCACACTTTTTGAAAAATCCATCCCTCCTTGGTGCAAATGGGGGTCGAAGATTTGGTGGACAACGTTTTGTGTTAAAATTTGTTTTCAAAGATCTATAAGAAAAATCATTTGAGACGTGTTTCACATTTTTCGCTAAATGTAAACTCCTTCGGTGGAAAATGCATTTCAAAGATTTTTCGGTGAATTTTAAGTTTTGTCCGCTTTGCATAAAAGTTGTTTGATTCCCGTCCGATCAGTTTCAAAATCATTTTCAAAACTTTTCGAAAACATTGATTTAATAAAATACGTGCCACGGGCAAGGCCGGGTTATACCAGCTAGTGTATACATAAACATATATATATATAAATGTATGTATATATATATACGTATATACTAGCGGGTATATCCCGGACTTGCCCGTGGCACGTGTAAGGTAAATGTTCTTAAAAAGCTTTGAAAATGATTTTGAATCTGATCGGATGGTCAACAAACAACTTTCATACAAACGATTTCCGCCATTTTACCACTGTTGCGGGTGGAATTTCCCAAATCGCTGAAACACGTTTTCAATAAATTCTTATGCAGAGCTTTGAAAATAAGTTTGAAGCAAATCGGATATAACTTAAAACTTCCCCAAAAAAATCTTTGAGTCGCATTTCTACCGAAGAAGTTTGGATTCTGCGAAAAGTGAGAAACACGTCTCAAATGATTTTTCATATATATCCTTGGAAATGAATTTGAGCGCGGAACGTCACCCACCAAATCTTTGACCCCCATTTCCACCAAGGAGGCATGGATTATCCAAAAACTACGAAACACCCCTCAATTGAATTTACACAAAGATCTCTGCAAATGTTTTTGTAGCCGATCGGATGGTAAACAAAAAAGTTTCATACAAACGTTTTTCGCGATTTTTCCACACTTGTAGGTGGAATTTTCGGAAATCCTGTCTTACATCACATAAGGTAACTACTATAAGGGCTCTTCGTTGATCACCAATCAGTCAGTCAGTCAGGACAAACAGTTTTATATATAGAGATACACCTATCGATGTAAGCTATTTTAAATTAAATTAAAGTTATGTGATGAAGGTCCAAGCTAAGTCGAGTTTTGGGAAATTTCACCAGCAGCTGTGAAAAAATCGTGGAAAACGGTTTTTGTTTATCATCCGATTGGCTTCAAACTCATTTTCAAACATCTTTCTTGCAATTCTTCTAAAACATATTTCACACTATTCGCAAACTCCCATCTCCCTTCTTGTATGAAAAATGCAGATCAACGGTTTTTTCTTCTTTCGAGCTTCAAGTTTTACGGGACTAAAATGGGGGGAAAATGTTTTAACTTTTGCACTGTTATTATTAT